CAGGCGCTTTTTAACTAGATAACAATGTTTTCGTGTTTAAATGCTGAATTTTATGTTAAGAATGAAACAAATAAATAATAATATGAAAAATGTATCATTTATTACAAGGTGCGCCGGGTTATATTTGCCCATAAACAGGAACAACTTATCATACTATTATAATACCTGATTAACCTTTGTTGCATGGAATGAAGCAAAAACTAATTGAAATATTTAGAAAATCCATTAAGCACAAAATGTATCAGCTGTTTAGTTTTTTATATACCGCTTTTTGATCTTCATTTCCAGTTAGATGCTTTGCATGCTTGCAGCTGTCTCATAGCAATGCATTTTATTTATGATGCAACAATAAAATTACAATTTATAAGGAATATGCTTTACTATATTTCCAAGACCTAATCACCAATTTAAAAATATGGAGATACATCTTCATTTTAAGTTGAATGTAAAGTATGTTTTTAGTAGCACTTTGTCTTTGATTTCCATGACACGTAAATATGCAAATTAATTTCCAAACTAATTTAACTTTTTCAGTTTTCATTAGAAAGTGAATTCAATAATTCTACCACCATTCTAAAAATGATAGGTACTTGGGAACGCCATAAAAGCACGATGTCTAGCTTTTTTGGCTTTTTTCTTAATGCTTTTGAAATATTTGCATATCTGAATTAAACAAACAGAAAAATATATTAAAACGATAATTTAATTAAATTAGCAATTAAACTTTAATTTAACACTGACAGGTCGTGGCTTACTTACATAGTTTTTATAAAGAAGCGTAAACTATTTTATTCACTTAAATTTTATATTATGCAAAAAAAAAACAGATATAAATCAATAAAATAACTTAAAACTCAACAAGCCCGCAAGCAATTATAGTGGAGGTTGAGATTGTTTAGAAGTTTTATTTCGAATCTAGATTACCAAATTCTTCATTGATTGTGATACAGCAATAACAGAATAATCTTGTATTAATTATACAATTTTAAGCTTTTATATGTTATAGTTCTTTAGATTGATTAATTCACATCTCCGAGAAAAGAAACTCGATTTTTTATTTCACTCCTTGTGCTTCAGAATCGAAGCTTTAAAGCACAATTTGTTATCAAATATTTTCTAATTATTTCGACCAATATCACCCGATTTTCCACTTTCTATCAATATTTACCCTTTTGCCTGATGTGAAGGTGTATCAATATAAATCCTCATGTTTGCATGCGTGTAGTGTTTACAGAAAAAAATCGCAATTATGATATCGGACTTTCGGAGTTCTCGGAGAATGCAGCATATATTGATCTATGTATTTGACATAGTAAAAATGTATATAACATAATTTACATCGTTATGTTCAGATAAGGCCAAGGTGAGTAAACACACTTGATTGATTTTGCAGATTTACGGCCGGTGTATGATAATGGTAAAACGCTGATTTATGGTAAACACCTTCACATAATTCTAGCCGCACTAGATTAAGGGCAATTTGCAAATATAAAAAGGTAAAGAATGATTTGTTGCTTTATAAAATGTCAGTGAAGATTAGATACATTTTAATATGTATATACAGGGTGTTTCGTAAGTAGATGCATTCCTTGCAGAGGGTGATAGTGCAAGTAATTTTGGATATATTTCGTTTATAGACCCTGTTCCGAAAACCATTAGTTTCTGATCTACAGGGTGTTAAAGTTTTAATAAAAAAATGTTATTTATTAATATTTCCAAAACCGCTTGGAATATTATAATGAAATTTGACAGGCTTAGGCAACTAAGCACAATACACTATTTGTGATAAAAATGTTGTTTCTATCTTTTCCACTAGTGTGGGTACAGGCACGTCTGTTAATTTACCTGTTAATTGAAATTTGACTTATTCATAGTATTGAAATGAGCACCAAGCTTGCTTTGGTACGGGGGAAAAATTATGTCATTCATTAATTCTTAACTACTAAAGATCTTGCTCAAAATGAAGCCCTCTTCTTCTAACGCAACTTCTAATGCATTTACCCGCCTTCTTATTTCTGTCCGGGTTACCCTGGCCAAAAATGTATTTTTAAATGTAATAGCGGCATCTGTAATGCGCTGTATTAATTCCTCCCTTGTATGTATTTCTCCGGCAGAAACCAACTCCTTTATCCTACCCCATACGTGAATGTCTAACGGGGTTAGATCTGGGCTTCTAGCAAGCCATGATATGGGGCCTCCTCTCCCCATCCATCGATTAGGAAAACGCTCATCATACATCAAGGTACTCCCTTACAGTTTGCCGATAAGGACAGCCCTAATGCTGGAAGATCAGGGTCTGACGAATATTTAGCGGCACATTTTTCCGTAGTAGTGGCAGGTGACTAATAGGAAAGTCGTTGTATCTTTGCCCGTTTAAGATGTCTGGCAGAAAATATGGCTTGATTATTTGATCGTTTATTACACCACACCAAACATTTGCACTGAACCGTCTTTGGTAATTACGGTAGTAATGAGCATTATGGTAGTTGGTAATCCCCTCTCGGTTAAAATTTGATTCATCGGTCCACAAAATTCTACTGAGAAAAGTTGAGTCTTCCATATCAGCGTTTAACATAAATCGGCAGAAGCCGATTCTCCTTAAAGGATCTTCTTCAAGCAAGTCTTGAACCGGCGTATAATGGTAGGGATGCAGTTTCTCTTTGTTCAATGTCGCCCGAGCTTTCCACTGTGACATTACAAAACGCCTAGCCGCGACGCGTACGCTTATCGTCGTATCTTCTTGAAAGACTCTTACAATGCCTTCTTCGAAATTGGTGCCGTAGCGTAGCTGGAGCTCCTACGTGAATTTGCCTACCTTGTACGTTTCCTGACTCACTGACCCTTGGATAGGTGTTTGAAAAGACACAGATATTTGAAAGCCGCCTTTTTAAAAATCGTCGCTGATCTTCGCGGCGCGCTTCTGAATAATATGAATATCTGCGTAATGAAAGAATATCTGCGTATTCAGCATTGGAAAACTCAGCCATTTGAACAAATAAAGTTTTCAACATATGTGAACTTACTCGAAATTACATAAATCGCAAGAAGAAGGTGGCAACTAAAGTTGCTCAGACAGTCGAAACAGCAGTTATTACTTTTGTCAATCAGTGACAAAATCTAGTGCAGAGCCAACTTTTTAATAAAAACCCGATTACGCTGTGCAATAAATCGATTTTAATTTGTTTACTGGCCAACGCGACGTCGTAGAAAAAAAGTCAAGAGATCTTTTCTCTTCCCAATATGAACAAGAATTTGAAAAATATTATTTATGTTGAGAAAAATCAGTGGCGTAACATTTTTTTATTTAAAATTATCTACATGCGTGCCTTTACCCACGCCACTGGAAAAGATAGAAACAACATTTTTATCGCAAAACGTGTATTGTTCTTAGTTGCCTAAGCCTGTCAAATTTCATTTTAATGTTCCTAGCGGTTTCCGAAATATTAATAAATAACATTTTTTTTATGAAAACTTTAACACCGTGTATATCGGAAACTAATGGTTTTCCCAACCTGGCCTGTTAACAAAATATATCCAAAATTACTTGCACTATCACCCCCTGCAAAGAATGCATCTATTTACCAAACACCCTGTATACAAGGACATTCAAAAAGGCGTTATTTTTATGGAGGCACTAACCAATAGAAAAAAACTGGTCAAAATTTCTATCGCTTCATACTACAATATTTGCAAAAAACTAAATAACAAATTAGACATCAGTATATGTCTGGATATTAGGTTAAGAGATATTCTCTTATTTAACATTACTTTGTGGCGAACTTCCACCACTTCACATGTGGCAGCTCCAACCCAGACACAGCTAATATATAACTATAACTTCTACGACGGATTACCGCGTCTAAGGCAGAGTCTACCTAAGCCTTACTGACGAGTCCARGTCCGAGGTAGGCGCCATAACTTAATTATCAGYTGCTTCGTACGTAACCTTAAAATATTGCAGGTGTAATTAAGGTTATAAATTTCAGTTTAGCTTGACTTGAGCTTATCATAGAATAAATCAGTTCCCTTCGGCAACAATTATTCAAACTGATCTGTTCGAGTCTTTCTAGCACATATTTTCTCATTGTATACCTACTCGTTTTAAAATGTAAACGCAACTTTAACACACTTGGGAACTAAAACTGGGAACTGTAATAAGTCGGCGAATTAACAAATTACGAATTGCAAATAGTTTTCGATTTGAAGTTAACCAAATGTCTGAATCTTTTGGTTATTCAATTTTATAAAAAATGTTTCAAATTGAGACTTTTAGCATCAGTTTTCATTTAGACATTGCTATTAGTTGACTATTAATGTTTGATCTAATAAAAAGGTTGTGTTAAGAAAAAATAAAAACGGATGGCACTAAACTGAATAGAACGGTAGAAATTTGAACGGACTTTCATAAAAAAATTCACAAAATATTCTATCTTATTTAATGAGATTCCAGAAAT